TGGTATCGATCGATGTGGTGGTGATAGTATCGGTCAACGAACGGTTGTTGGTCGACGGTGGAAAGCGGGTATCGGTCGATACAGTGGTGTTGGTATCGATCGATGTGGAGCGTAGGTCTTTGCGGATGCTACGTTCCAGGTAGTTGGGATCTTCTGAGTACAATAGTTGCTCGTCCTTGTTGCTTCTGGTACTGCTGGGCATGTACCTGAAAGAGACAAAAAGAAAAAGAAAAATTTTGTGTCAAAAGATTGAAAAATAAAAAGTAACAAATAACCTAGACTGAATCAAATTAAATCTAATAGTAATCTTAGTTCCCCGGCAACGGCGCCTAATTTGATATCACTCAAATGTTTAACCCTAAGGAGTGAATTACTCTCTCAAATAAGAGGTTCAGTCGTAGTACTTAGGGATCGAATCCACGGGGAACTAGAGTCACAAAAGAATTAATCCTAAGTGATTAAGCTAGGTTGAAATAGGTTTAAAACAATAAAATAAAAATGGGTAGCAATGGTAAGTTGCTGAGGAGACTGGTTAAAAGAAAATAGCTAGATTCAAGGTTACTATTCAGAAAATCAGGGTTATAAATCTATGGATGTCTTAACGAATTGCTTGCAAATATATGAGGACTTCAATCCTTAGACAAATCTATAGCTGTCGCTAGTTAGACTCGTCCATTGATCTGATTGCCGACAATATCGATCGATGTTGCTATCGCGGTATCGATCGATATGCATTGCCGTCGATCGATTACTTTATGGGAGTATCGATCGATATAGCATCAAGTCGAATTGAAATTGTGTCCACCCGAGAACATCTATTAGACCGCCTATCGCACGTGCCTAATAGAGTCTGAGCTTAGCCAAATGATTTCAGGATAATGACTATTTGATTAGTCACTTCATAATCATACTTCTAGGTAGCTAATCTAGAAGAAGCATTAGGGTTCATTTGGTTAATGAATATAACAATTCAACATACCATAGTTGGGGCTAATCCCTCATAACTATTTGAACCCTAAATCTAACAAATGAATCTAATCAGACATAGCCAAGTGATTCATAGCAAAAGAATAAGATGAAAAGAAAATGCTTTTATTGCTAAGTATAGAATAGAATACAAAACTCTTAATTTCTGATTGTCTTTCTAGGGCTCATAGGCATAACTATAAATATAAGTGCAATTAGGTTAAAAAACTCGTCAGGGGCAATCTTGTAATTTGGTGAGAACTTGGGTTTCAAGTTGGACAAAGAAATCTTGCTCATCACGCTCTGTATCGATCGATGGTACATGGTATACATCGATCGATGGAGTATCTCGACTTCAACTTCTACGGAAGCGTCATCGATCGATTACACAGGGTGTGTATCGATCGATATGTATCTCTTATGTCGGATCTTCATAGTCATCTTGGAAAACTCTTCTTTAAGCACCAAAAGGCACCTAAATCATCACTTTACCACAAAATGCTCTTGAACCTGAAAACATACCTAATAGACTCCAAAACATAGATATTTATATAAAACATAGTAATACCATGACCAAAAACGGGTCAAAATCATGGTATATCAAACAAATACAAAGAAAAGTTTAAATTGACAAGCAAAGAGACAGATCAAAGATGATTTTTTTGAAGAACATTATAACACTATGAGAAAATGGCAAAATGGAAAATTATATAGTTTAAATGGGAAATGTTTGAAGTGTTAATGATTATGATTATCTACTAAGACGCATATTGCATACTTGTCTCAACCATAAAAAGAGATATAACATGATCCTCTTTCTTCTCGCTTACTTTATAAATTCCATCTCACCTGCTCTATTTCTACAAGTCAAACGGTATTTAATCTTTGGTTAAACTCTTGATTGACTTCATGGACTTCGATGATAAATTAGTAAGAACGATGATAAAGAACTCTCACAGTATCAGAAATACACAAATCTTGAAATAATCTACGCATAGTTTTCTTATTATTGTTTATCCTCATACTTGGGCCATCAATGATCATTTGCCATTGGCGTCCCTAACGCTTTAACATGAGCAAAGGCAACATCTCTCATGTCTAAGAACCTGTAGTAGGTTTCTTCTTACCATTCATCATGACAATAATGATATCCGACAAAGAATCACAATATTAGACAAAACTCAATAAAGAACAAAGTAAAATTCAACAATTCAGAAATGCCCTATAATTTTTTTGAGTTTTTTTGTCTGTTAAATGTTTTATGATTCCGGAAAAAAAGAAATGTAAAATTCAATTCAATATATGAGAAAAAATATTTTAAAAGTTTTTAGTGTACTATCCCGCGCGTAGCGCGGACAAAAGATCTAGTAATAATAATGAGTTCAATTCTTACTATGTCTCTCATTACTTTTATTGACGTAGAATTACAATAATAATTATTAAAATATCTCTTTCAAAATCACCTCGAATATATTTTTTTCAAACTCAACTCGTAACATCATCACATAGAAAACCTTGATGCCAAAAAAGGCAAATAGGCAGAAGAACTTGAAGGAGTTTTGTGGTCACACTGCATGACCCCGAGACGAGCGATGGGGGAAACCCTATTCGCCCTTGTATACGGAACATAGTGCATGATCCCGGCAGAACTCGAATTCCTGGGAGTATGCAGGAGGCTGCTCCCAGAAAGAGAAGAGTCGAACAAACTGATGCTGCTCAACGAACTCGATCTGATTAACAAACAATGGGACAAGAGGCCCTCGTGCGAATTCAGAATTATCAACAAGTGGCAGCAAAGTACTAGAACTCGAATGTATGAGGCCGTAGATTTCATGAAGGCAAACTAGTCTTACGAAAAGTCTTCCAAAACACCGCATAACGAAATGTCGGGAAACTGAGTGCAAACTGGGAGGGACCATACAAGGTCATAAAGGTGGTCCAGCCGGGAACGTATGAAATCGCGAACATGCAGGACATCAAAATTCCCCGATCATGGAACGCAATGCGCCTCAAAAAATACTATCACTTGGCAACACGCTCCGCAAATCACTAAACTACGAGATGACTTGATCCTTGCTAAAGAGTACGTAGGCATCTCGTCGCAACGCAAGACCAGATGTCCCCCCTCGTTAAAAGGGGGGGGGGGGGGTAGGTGAGTATACGTATACTCGTATACTCCCCAAATTTTAAACTTGAAATTTCTCGACCAATTTTCAACAACGCGGCAAAAAGAAAAACGAAATTCCAAATATAGCGAGACGTCGCTAATGTTTAGAAAACCGGCTTTCTTAAATAAAAAAACAGTCCATCCACGACTATAAAACATACAAAACCTCTTAAGATACATATCCTTCGCGAAGGCCCAAGCAACGGTAACATCTACCACCTCAGTTTGTTGATGATCACAACGCAGCAGTTCTAAACAAACTTAAGTTATCTCGCAGAGATAGCCTCTCATACACCCGACACAAGGGTAATAGCGCTATTAAGAAATCCAAATTTTGGTCAGCACCTTCGGGGATGCTCGATTCCGACCAGAAAAGTCGTGTAAGCCGAGAACCTATCGCAGACTTTAAATCGGTACGGAATCAGGTTAAATTCGTAACAGGCAAAATGAACGCTGATTTGTCATCGCAAAGCCTTAAAACCGAAAGTAAACCTAGGTACCCTAAACTCAGAACACTGGTCTCTAACATCTCAAGGCATGAATTGAGATCTTAAAGGCCAATCTCTTCGTCTATATCTGAACGCTCACTCGATTCCTAAAATGAGCAAACGAACAAGGCAATCTACAAAGGAGTTGGGATGCGAGACGACAACTCGCGGACCTCCCTCTACATTCACACAAACAAAAACATTCATTTCAATACGCAAATCGATCTTTCATTAAAGTTGCAAAAGCAACATGGATTCAAAGCCATAACGGCCAGTCCCAAAATAAAAACACGGCCACACTCGGCCAAAACACAAAATAAAAGTCTCACACAAGACTACAACTTCAAACATCCTTCGCACACGGAGTCTCATCATCGCCCATCACTTCATCGGAATTCGGAACCATACCTTCACCACCTTCATCGACCTCTAGAACCTTGCTCTCGTCCATACTTGGCTGAAGCGCGCAATTGGATCTCAGGCCAGCAAGAGCCAAACCAAAGTCGCCCTCCGTCTCCATTAACTCCGCTTTGCGGGAAAGAAGTCTAGCTTCCTCCGATCGCGGAGAGGGAGCCGTATCGCTCAGAAAAATCTGAACCTCGCTCATCCCACCCTAAGCAGTTGCCAAGGCAACGTCCCTATCATGAATGATCGATAACCTGTCAAGGGAATCAGCGATCCTTGAAATACGGGCCTCCAATTCGGCAGGGACACCCTCCTTGACCCCTTCAATCTCATAGACCATCGACCCCTCGATACTCTTGACCTTGCGTTGAAGTCTGCGCAGCTCCAAAGCTTTAGCCTTCTTCACATCCTTTGCCTTGAGCAAGGAACTTGCAGTCTTTCAAAGATCCCGCTCCAAGTCACTGATCCTAGCCTCAAACTGAGACACCTCCGCAGAATGTGCATCTTCAATCACCTTCAACTTTCCTTCGAGCTGAGCAGACCTTTATTGCGACTCAGCTAGTTCCTTCGCCAAACGCTCGACCTTGGACCCACATTCGTTAATCACTCCATCGATTAACGAGACAAACTGAGCGACAAGATAGACGGTCAGACACCAAATAAAAGTAATAGTAAAGATACATTAAAGATGTACTAGAAAATCTATACATTTGCTCGATGTTGCGACATCAGACCCGAGATCAGCGCCTTGTTCAATTAAGGACATGCCTCAGAAACTTTCGTACATCTCCTCTTCTTGGCCGCATCGAGGTTTGCAAGGTCTTTTGTTACCTTTGGCCAAAGAAGCCAGCGTTGCACTAAGAGCCGGTGGCCCCAAAACGATCACTCTCTTGGCAAGAGGAGGAGGCTTCGAGACCACGGCTGGTTTGACCTCAGCGAGAGTCGGGACAGTGGATGAACTCGATGGCTCAACGATGGTAATCGCCGCAGGCTTCGTAGCAACACACGCCGACTTGTCCGGAACAACTTCAGATGCCTCTACAGGAACAGACAGATCCACCGGGGTTGCACATACTGGGCTCGCCACCTCTTCAGCATCGCAGCGATCCATCTCCTTCTGAAACGAAAGGAATTCCAAGATGTGAGTCAAAACGGCCGCGGAAGAATCCGGTGGGCCTGCTGCAGAATTGTCGTTCACCAAGACATCATGGTTTTGTTGGCCATCATTGGGAGAAGACATCTTGACAAGGTAATTTCCTAGAGAGAAGTTGGAGGAAGTTTGAGAAGTTGAGGGTATGTGAAGAGAGTAAGAAGTGATGATCCAATACTTATAGGAAAATAGGAGGAGTCTATTTTCCGCAATAAGATAATCAACCTACTTCGGAAAAAAAAAAGAGAGAGAGAAAAAGAGACTATCACAGCCGTAGATTCCGATTAACAACTTTACTCACCCGCAATAACCTCACTTAAACTTTCGAGCTGGGGGCTAACTGTTGGGGTCAAAACGGTAATCTCGATATTAACGACTACTATTACTTCTCCTTATATTCTCCGAAAGGATCTCGGGTAGAGAAAACAAGAAACGACCAAAACTGAACAACCGACAAGCTCGCCAAGACGGCGAACTGGACGAATCAGCTCACCTTGCCGGCTTGGCGAGCTGGCTGTGCTTGACCAGCTCGCCGGCTAGGCAAGCTGAACTGTCCCGACTGGCGACCTGAACTGTCCCGTCCAGCTCGCCAGCCAACGATCCGGCCGTGCTTGACCAACTCGCCGACTGGCAAGCTGAACTGTCCCGACCAGCTCGCCGGCTGCCGTGCTTGACCAGCTCGCCAACTGGCGATCTGAACTGTCCCGTTCAGCTTGCCTGCGGCCGTGCTTGACCAGCTCGCCGACTGGAAAGCTGAAATTTCCCGTCCAGCTCGCCAGCCAGCAAGCTGGCCGTGCTTCACCAGCTCGCCGGATGGGCAAACTGAACCATCCCGTCCAGCTCGCCCAGCCAACAAGCTGGTGGTCCTGAACCAATTCGTCGTCTTCTCGAGCTGAACCAAACTATCAAGGTCCCTCGATTCGATAGTACTCTGAACCGTAGTTGGAACATCTTTTGTTTCGTCTCGATCCGACTTACTGTTGGAGTTTTACGATAAGATATGCTAAAGACTTGTTTTCTCGTAAAACCTCGAGTAAATCGTATAAAACGGCAGCGGTTAAACATAACACCGGTATTGCAAAAACTTTACAATTGACTCGAGTTATTTCATAAAAACAGCAGAGTATCATGGAATGATCCCGTCTAAAATCGTAAAACGGCTAAGTCGCAAAATGGCTCGGAAATACCTAAAACGCGATAAAGCCCCACTCACGACTTTAAACGAGATCCAGCCCAAAGATACGATGACAGTTTACTCATTATTCACAGGAAAGGATAAATGTCAAGTTTTAAGACAAAATAGAAGTTTTCCAAGAAAAAAGGGGAAGATCGAGATAAATGGAAGATTTCCGATAAACACGAATCATGGTGGAAAGGAAATACCAACCACCTAGAGGAGGACTATATAAGCATAGACCTAGAAGAGAAGCTGTTAGCTTAGGCGAATTTAGGATTTAGGTGGCTAGACTAGCAAGTCAGATTCTTAGAACATTTGGTTGCCTAAGTTCCGCGATTCTCTTTGTAACAGCTTTCAATCTCTTTATTAATAATAGCCTTTGCGCAATTTTTTTCATCTATATTTTATTCATCTCTTCTGTTTAGTGTGTTTCCGCAGAGATCTAGGACCTCTGGAGAATTAGGGTTTTCCCTAAGTTTTCATATTTGACGAAAAATCGACAGTGTGAATTTCGGTTCCCACAGTCACAACATCGAGCCAAGGTATAGATTTGCGAGTACAATTTTAACATATTTTTATTATTACTTTTATTTCGTGTCTGACTGTCTATCTTGTTGCTCAGTTTGTCTCGTTAATCAATGGAGGGATTAACGAATGTGGCTCCGAAGTCGAGCGTTTGGCGAAGGAGCTAGCTGAGTCGCAAGAAAGGTCCTCTCAGCTCGAAGGGAAGTTGAAGGTGATTGAAGATGCACATTCTTCAGAGGTGTCTCAGTTTAAGGCTAGGATCAGTGACTTGGAGCAGGATCTTGTAAAGACTGCAAGTTCCTTGCTCAAGGCAAATGATGCGAAGAAGGCTAAAGCTTCGGAGCTGCGCAGACTTCAACGCAAGGCCAAAAGTATAAAGACGGTCCGTGAGATTGAAGGGGTTAAGGAGGGTGTCCCTACCGAATTGGAAGCCCGTATTTCAAGGATCGCCGATTCCCTTGACAAGTTCTCTATCATCCATGATAGGGACGTTACCTTGGCAACTGCTGAGAGTGGGATGAGCGAGATTCAGCTTTTCCTGGGTGATGCGCCTCCATCTTCGCGGTCGGAGGAAGCTTGACTTATTGCTTGTAAATCGGAGTTAATGAAGACGGAGGACGACTTTGGTTTGGTTCTTGCTGGCCTGAGATCTGAGTGCGCCCCTCATCTAAGTATGGGTGAGAGCAAGGCTCTCGAGGTTGATGAAAGTGGTAAAGGTATGGTTCCGAGTTCCGATTAAGTGATGGGCGATGATGAGACTCCGTGTGCGGAGGATGTTTGAAGTTGCAGTCTTATGTGAGACTTTTATTTTTAGTTTTTGTGTTTTAGCCGAGTGTGGCCGTGATTTTATTTTGGGACTGGCCGTTATGGCTTTGAATCTCTATTGCTTTTGCAACTTTAATGAATGAACAATCAGATTGCGTTTTGAAAAGAATGCTTTTGTTTGTGTGAATGTAGAGGGAGGTCCACGAGTTGTCGTCTCGCATCCCAACTCCTTTGTAAATCGCCTTATTTGTTTGCTCATTCTAGGATATTTAGGAATAAAGTGAGCGTTCAGATCTAGACGAAGAGACAAGCCTTTAGGATCTCAATCCATTCCTTGAGACGTTAGAGACCAATGTGCTGGGTTTAGGGTAAGAACAAGGTTTACTTTCGGTTTTAAGGCTTTTCGATGACTAATCGGCGTTCTTTTGCATGTTGCGATTTAAAGTCCGCGATAGGTTCTCGGCTTACACGACTTGTCTGGTCGGAATCGAGCATCCCCGAAGGTGCTGACAAAAATTTGGATTTCTTTATAGCGCTATTACCCTTGTGTCGGGTGTATGAGAGCTATCTCTGCGAGATAACTTAAGTTTGTTTAGAACTGCTGCGTTGTGATCAGCAACAAACTGAAGTGGTAGATGTTACCGTTGCTTGGGCCTTCACGAAGGACATGTATCTTAAGAGGTTTTGTACGTTTTATAGTCGCAGATGGACTGTTTTTTTATTTAAGAAAAATGGTTTTCCGAACATTGGCAACGTCTCGCTATATTCAGAATTTCGTTTTTCTTTTTGCCGCGTTGTTGAAAATTGTTTGAGAAGTTTTGAGTTTAAAATTTCGGGAGTATACGAGTATATGTATACTCACCTACCCCCCCCCCCTTTAACGAGGGGGGATAGCTGGTCTCACCTTGCGACGAGAGGCCTACGTACCCTTTAGCAGAGATCAAGCCGTCTCATAGTTCAGTTATTTTGCGGAGCGTGTTTCCTAATGACAGTACTTTTTGAGGTGCATTGTGTTCCATGATCAGGGAATTTTTGATGTCCTGCATGTTCGTGATTTCCTACGCTTTCAGCCGGACCACCTTTAAGACCTTGTATGGTCCTTCCCAGTTTGCTCCCAGTTTCCCGGCGTTCCATTCTGCGGTGTTTTGGAAGACTAGTTCGCCTTCTTGAAATCTATGGTCTCGTACGTTCGAGTTGTAATACTTTGCTGCTGCTTGTTCATAATTCTGAATTTGCACGAGGGCATGGTCCTGTCGTTCGTTAATTAGATCGAGTTCGTCGAGCAGCATCAGGTTGTTTAACTCTTCTCTTTCTGGGAGCAGCCTCATGCGTACTCCTGGGAATTCGACTTCTGCCGGGATCATGCATTTTTTTTTGTATACGAGGGCGAATGGGTTTAACCCGTTTCTCGCCTCGGGGTCGTTCGATGCGACCACAAAACTCCGTCGAGGATAGTTTTGTTAATGGTGTCGGCTTGTCCGTTGCCTTGAGGATATCTTGGAGTTGATTTTGTCAATCATATTTTTTATTTCTCGCAGAAAGCTTCGAATCTAGTCGAAATAAACTGAGAGCCGTTATCCGTTACAGTTTCGGAGGGGACTCCGTTGCTTCAAACGATGTTTTTCCATACGAAACTTTTTACTTGGGCGTCATTGATGGTTGTGTAAGAATCTGCTTCGAGCCATTTGGAGAAAAACTCAGTCATGACTAATAAGAAACGTTTTTGTTTTGATGCGTGCATAGGCCCGACTATATCCATCGACCATTGCATGAACGAATACGATGCCGAAATGGACAAGAGAACTTCCGCTGGTTGATAGATAGTTGGGGCGTGTCTTTGGTACTTTTCACATTTTTGTTAAAAATTCTCGCAGTCTTTGACCATTGTCGGCCAGAAATATCCGTGACGCTTGACTTCTATTGCGAGAGATCTTCCATCGGAATGGCTTCCGCAGGATCCGGAGTGAACTTCTTCCATTATTCGCTGTGCCTTTTCTCCTTGCATGCATGTCATGAGTGGTCCGGAGAATCTCCACTTATAGAGTTCTCTGTCGACCATAACATATCGTGCGGCTTGAGTCTTTACTTTTCGGCCCATTTTTCCAATGGGAGTTCCCCGTCGGTTATGTACGTGAGGATCATTTTCATCCACGGACGGCTGAACCCGTAACTGAACTGATCTGTGGCTGGCCGATCATCGTTTTCGTCGATGTCGACTTCCCGTTCGTCGATCTCTCCAGAGGTCCTGGATCTCTGCAGAAACACACTAAAACAAAAAAGATGAACAGAATATAGATGAAGAAATTGCGCAAAGGCTATTATTGATATGAATAAAGAGATTGAAAGTTGTTACAAAGAGGATCGCGGAACATAGACAAACAAACGTTCTAAGAATCCGACTTGCTAGTCTAGCCACCTAAGTCCTATATTCGTCTAAGCTAACAGCAGTTTTTCTAGGTCTAAAAAATCTCTGCTCCTCTTGAATTCAACCTTGTGCTTATATACTCATCCTCTAGGCGGTTGGTCTTTCCTTTTCCACCCCGATTCGCGTTTATCAGAAATCTTCCATTTATCTCGATCTTCCCATTTTTCCTTGGAAAACTTCAATTAGTCTTCAAACTTGACATTTATCATTTCCTGCGAATAATAACTAAAACGTCATAATATCTTTGGACTGGATCTCGTCTAAAGTTGTGAGTGAGCCTTTATCGCGTTTTAGGACTTTCCAGGCCGTTTTGCGACTTAGCCGTTTTACGAGTTTAGACGGGATCGTTCCATGACACGATACAGTTTTTTTATAAAATATCTTGAATTAATCATAAATTTTTGGCAATGTCCGGTGTTTTGTTTAAAAGTTTCTGTTTTATACGATTTACTCGAGATTTTACGAGAAAACAAGTCTTTAGCAGTTTTCATCGTAAAACTCCAACGGTAAGATGGATTGAGACGAAACGAAAGATGTTCCGATCACGGTTCAGAGTACGATCGAGTTGAGGGACCTGGACGATTTGATTCAGCTCGAAAAGATGGCGAACTGGTTCAGAACGACCAGGTCACTGGCTGGGATGGACGGGACGGTTCAGCTCGCCGGCTGGGTGTGCTGAACGGGACAGTTCAGCTCGCGCAGCCTGTGAGCTAGTCAAGCACGGCCAGCCCGCTGGGTGGGCGCGCTGGCCGGGACAGTTCAGCTCGTCCAGCCGGCGAGCTGGTCAAGCACGGCCAGCTCGCCGGCTGGGCGAGCTGATTGGCCATGTCAGCTCGCCAGGCTGGTGAGTTGAGCTGATCCGTCCAGTTCGTAATCTTGGCGATCTGGTCGGTTGTCCGATTTCGGTCGTTTCGTGTCTTCCCGATTACTTCTCCTTATCGGAGAATATAAGGAGAAGTAATCGTAGACGTTGATTTTGAGATTACCGTTTTTGACCCCCACAAAAATCTTTGATAAATCTCCTATAGAATCCAGCGTGTCCGAGAAAGCTTCTAACGTCTTTTATGTTTGTTGGTGCAGGTAATCAAGTCATTACTTCTATCTTAGTTCGGTCCACTTCTATTCCGGCTGCAGAACGTTTGTGCCCTAGGACAATGCCATCGTATTTAATCTAGTAAGTCATAACCTATTATATATGCAAATTTAAATCTATAATTTTTTGATTTATGCTACTTATTTAATAAGGTCGATTGGTTGATGCGAGTTGATTTTCTGTTACGAATGAAATGGCATTTTTTCCAATTTTATCATAAGATTCTTTTCTTCACATCTTGCCAGTACTTTACAGAGATTTTCAAGGCAAATTTTGAAACTTGATCCTTGGACAGAAAAATTGTCCATAAAAACTTCCATAAAGTCTTCGATCATATCTGTGAAGATGGACATCATGTATCATTGGAAAGTAGCACGAGCGTTACAGAGGCCAAATGGCATTCTACGGTAAGCGAATGTTCCATAGGGGCATGTAAAGGTTGTCTTTTCTTGATCGTCCAGATGTATAGGAATCTGGAAAAATCCGGAATATCCGTCGAGGAAACAGTAGTACTGGTGGTTTGCTAATCTTTCCAACATCTGATCGATGAAGGGTAAAGGGAAATGATCTGTCCTAGTAGCAGCGTTCAACTTCCTATAGCCGATACACATTTGATGCCCAGTGACCGTCCTTGTAGGGATCAGCTCATCTTTGTTGTTCTTTACCACAGTAATACCTTCCTTTTTAGGCACAACATGACCAGAGCTTACCCATCTACTATCTGAAATCGGGTAGATAACTCCGGCATCTAGAATTTTATTAATTTCTTTCTTCACCACTTCCTGAAAACTGGGGTTTAACCTCCTTTGCGTTTCTACAGATGAATTAGAACCATCTTCCAGATAGATGCGGTGCATGCAAAGATTAGGTGAGATGTCAGGAATGTCATCAAGGGAATAACCGATAACCTTTATGTACTTACGTAACTTGTTTAGAAGAAGCGCAAGTTCTCTGTTCTTTAGATTGGCATTAACAATGACGGGGAAGGATTTTTCGTAAAGGAAAGTGTACTTAAGCCCAGCAGGCAGCGGTTCAAGCTCAACTTTTGGTGCCTTCTCTTTACTTCAATCGACTGTGTGCGGAGGTGTTTATCAGACCATTCTCTCAGATAGCGATCAATATCGATGTCTGAATCATCTCCTCCTTTATCCTCCGATTGAGTATTAGCATCCATTAAGCGTGCGTAATCATCTTCTCTATCATCCAGGTTGAACAATTCCTTTTATGTGCTACTAGATTCGCTCTCTGTTGGATCTCCAGTGTACATTTCTGCGAAGGATACATCATGTACCTCAGA